ATTCCTTATATTAACAGAAACTGCTCCACTTATTGTATTCACAGTTGTATTTACAGTTGCTGTACTCACTGAAAAATCACCACATTACAATTCATGCATCATTCACTTCACTTTTAAATGATCAGTATCTGAAAATGAAAGCTGAATGTGAGACTTATTTGACAGTTACTATCATTGATGTGAAGCGTAATGATACAATGGCAGCAGTATAAACACAATTACAAAACAAATTAAAAATAAAATTGTGAATAAAATTTTTTTGCATTAATGCTATTAATGTTTGATGCATAAAGCTGAGAATAAATGTTTTCAATTGAATTCAAGTTCATTTGTATAATGCTTACCTAATGAGCCTGAATATTGTTACTAAGATGCCTTACAGAACAATATTACCATAAAACCCTCAGTGAGTTAAGCCAAAAGTGACAGTAGTGATGAAAAACTCCCTAGAAAGATATAAAACACTTTTTACAGAACTATATTTAGATTTGGATATTATTAACTATTTCTGAAAACTACAACTGTCGTTTTATTAAATTTGTAAAATAATCATGAATAATGATTTAAGATTTCTGACCAGACTTATGAAAGCATTTGCAAAATCATTTCTCAAATTTTCTGAAAACCTCCAAAAACCTCTTTAAAACTCTTGTTTATATTGATGTAGCAATTAATTTGACAAGTATTAGTTTATATGATCTCTAAAGCCACATTTAATTGTAAATGTAAAGAGAAGTTAACTGATTGTTGAGTCTTACCGTTATTACTTGCCCACATATTACAAATCCCTGAAACAGCAGCCATTTTCCTTATGCTTTCACTTTTGTTTCAGTCAAATGGCGGCTGCGCTGATCTCAGTATGAAAATCAGGGTTTATAGTTTCAATTTCATCTCCTGATATTAGAAGCTTCAATGCTCAGGACTAAAAAAAATACAAAAAAATATATAAATAGAAAGTGAAAATTCATATAAAAAATCATATAACTAAACTTACAGGCTATAACAAATAAACAAACTGTTAACTATTAAGTATTAAACCATGTGTAGTATTGTTTTGATCTTTGCCTAAATGCAAATATGATCTCTGGGCCTACCTGATGTTACCATTTTCCAGATCATCTTCAACAGCTTTTCCTGGTTCATAATCTATTTAAAAACAACATTTCATGCATTACTCATTGATAGGAACTTATAAATGTATTAGTGCAGTCTATACAGCGGTATCTGTTTGCAGTCACTGGGATTGCACAAGTTTACAGCATTTTAGGTGCCAATCCCTAACCCCAAAAAATGAGAGGGTTGAGCCAGAAAGAACAAATAAAACCTGTGTCAAATAAACTATGCAGATGATACACTGTGACATTCCCTCATGGGAGCAGCCGAACGAGAGAGAGAGAGAGAGCTGTGTATCAGAATGAGCCAGAGTTTCTGTACTTTCACACCAAATATTCTTTCAGATATATCTACACATATTTTAACTCAGATTAAAAAAAAGAAAAGTGGGAAAGTGAAACAACTGATCCCCATGCAGAAACTATTACAATGTGCAACTAATAGGCCTAGTTGAAACAGAAACAAAAAAGTCTTATAGAGAAGCTGTTTAACCAAACCCAGTTGTTAAGAAAGAATTACACAAATTTAACATACTTAGAATAGGATGGGCAGAAGGTCGTCTATCTGTAAATAAATTCAGTGCAAAATTACATGATATCACTACTGACTGTCAAACCTATACTGTTAAATAGACTTTAAGAACTATAGAGAAGTGAAAACACCACTTCACAAAACCTAGCTCACTGCAGTTTCACTCATAGAAAAGACAGAACTTCATGTTAGGCAGTCATGTTATGTCTAAATACATTTAGAAAATCATAAGGAAGTAAGTCTAGTTTTTCAGTAACACAAGAATTCCCTGATACAAAGATCTGCTGAGGCACGTTCTTTCTAACTTTAAGCATTGCCACATTTCCCCTTTGAATGCCAAATAAGTGAAAAGCCTGTGTTTAACAGAAATCCCACCTGCAGACATAATCACTCAAATGTACCCTTAGATTTTGTTACCCTTAGAATTAATATTAAAGGCATACTCACGCGGAGCATTTTGTTTTCTGAAACACAACAGAGCGAACAGCAGGCCAACAGTAAGCGATCCAATGACCATCACACCAGCGACAATGTTTGTTGTATTAGATCCTGAAGAATCCTTGTTATCATCATCTGGAGAAACAAAATGCATACAATTCACACGAGCACAGATTCTCCATGACAGTGTTGTAAAAATATATAATGAACTAAAAGATTATCTTTAATACAATGGGCAGTTTTAGAAATCTGCTGACTCACAGTAACCTTAAATATCTCTAGTAGACTATTGTGTGGCAGTGGCAGCCCATTATTGCACACAACTGTATTGCTAAAAAAAAATATAGACTCTAATGATACCAGTAAAACAATATAATACAATTCAAATCTCAATGTGCTTTGTCTCAAAACTTTCATTTTGAGAATGCGTATTCACACAATGAAATATGATTATGTAAACACTCCTTAAATGGTGCTACTGTCAACTCTTGAGTTGACATATGTCTAGACACAGTAGCAGATTTTTTTCAGCAGATCATCTCTGTTGCACAACCTGCTTGCTATGTAAAATAAGCACTCATAGAGATAAGACAATTAAGCTTAATTACGTATAGCAGATGTGATCTCCATTGTGTTTTCTCCATCTTGTACATATTTACTATTAAAGACGATGCATCTAAATGGTTCCAGACCCAGGACGATAGACTTGAAAGTCAGTTTGCTAGACAAAGCCACAGATTTTACACCGCTGATGTCCTTGGGGGTTTTTGTCAGTTCTGAATTTATGGTCCAGTTGGTTCCAGAATGGTCAAACCAATGGATGGAGCCTGCTGGGTAGCCATCAGTAGCATTGCAGTAAAGGCTGACAGGTCCTCCATCCTTTACATTTTCAGGCCATGTGCTTGTTACAGGATCCTTGTACTTCGCTTTATTGAGAAAGAACAAAACAATGATAAGCACCAAGACTCTTGTAAGCAGGGCAGTGTGCTTGTATGTATTTTTAGTCATAAGACTAAAGAAATTGAAACTCACCTGTGACACTGATGCTAAGCTGTATGTCTTCATAACCACTGTCCGTTACAACATGGTACAGATATTCACCCTCATCAGAGAACATTGTGTCAGAGATTTGCAGAGATGGACTCATTGCTGAGTTTTCAAGACTAAAGCGTTGATCTCCTGATCTTTTTGATTCTTCTTGAGCAAATAATGGCTTGTCCTGTCCAACTTTTGTTAAATAAACTGCAACTATGTGAATATCTTTTATGTCTTTGAAATAGCATCTGATAACTGTGGTCTGAGCAAGAATTCCATATGTAGGCGGGCATTCCAATTTCCACAAATCTGATGAACACAGAATTACAAACATAAAATTTGGATTGTGGTACTTCAGAGGAAGCAGAACAAATTTCATGGTCATGGTTTTATACAAGTAAAGTTCTGTTGACAGAATCTGTGGCATGCTGTTGATTAACCACAGAAAATAATTTACAGTATATTGCACTTAACTTGTATTGACCCTGGAACATAAACTGCTTTAAGCACAACAAACAGTGATAATCTCTAGTAACGTGGCTACATTCCTTAAACCCTAAAGTTAATTTTAACACTGAAAAACAGCAAATGTAATTAATCTGTGTATTAAAGCATGTACCTGAACTGGACCTCACAGCAGGGATGAAGAGAGAAACTACAAGCATAATCTTCACTGAAGACATGTTTACTCTGAAAGGAAAAGTCAAAAAGAGACTTAACAATAACAAAACATTTTTTTTTTTTTTGCTGGTGTGTACTTCTTGAGATCGAACCCTATATCTGTAAATTCCTATTGTAAAAGTTTTGACTGGGTTTCAAAAAGCAATATGTACAATGATATTTCATTAAAAAAATATAAATCCAGAATATGGTTCTTAATCAGAAAATGATGTGCAAGTAACCATGGCCACTGATAAGCATAAGTGACTGATTACAGCTGAAAAAATGTATAGATATAAAGAAAGATAGGCTATATTCTTAATGCTGATAGTAATTTCAGGGGGAAAAAAATTAACATTGCAATAGTTTTTGCTAAATCATCAAGTATATATAAATGTTTCTTTGTGAATTTACAACTATATCCACATTAAATTAAGACAACGCATCAACAGAATTGGTCATTCCACATAAACTAGTTTGTTCTGTGGCTTCCTTCTGTAAGTCTTGGCCGTATTCTTTGTATTTTCTTAACACATTTTATGTTGTAACGTACATATTGTAACATCCCAAAAC